AAAAGTATCACAAGGTAAAAGCAGTAAGCAAGCTTATTTAGCAAGAGGTTTCTTTATAATCTAGCTTCTGCCAACAAAATGTGGTAATTAGAGAACAATATCATTACTATCACATGCGAGTAAAATCTTGCTGAAGATTATTTTTAAATGGCTGAAACAGTATATTGATAGGGAACTGCAAGAAATTCAAGCTGGATTCAGAAGAGGCCATGGCACCTGGGATATAACTGCTTATCTCAGATGGAGCTTCTCTGAAAGCACAGAGTACTTGAAAGATGTGTACTTGTGTTTTATTGATTATACAAAGGCATTTGACTGTGTGGATCACGACAAATTATAGATAACACTGAGAGTAACAGGAATCCCAGACCACTTAATTGTGCTTAACTGAAAGCTAGCTATAGATCAAGAAGCAGTTGCTCAAATGGAACAAGGGAACACTGTATGATTTAAACTCAGGAAAGGTGTGCATCAGAGTTAAAGCCCTTCTCCATACCTAGTGAATGTTGGGTTTTTTTTAACTGGAAAAGATCAAAGACTATAGCCTCCAATATGGATGGATTACTTCTTAACAAAAATATCCTCTCCAAAGGTCTAAAGAGCAATAATGGCACTTTAAAGACTAATACACACTGATCAAAGCCATGGCCTTTTCAATTGCTTCCCACGGATGTCAAAGTTGGACAATGAATATAGAAGGCCGATGAAGAATCAGTGCTTTTGAACTGTGGTGTTGGCAACAGCATTGAATATCCCATGGACTGCCAAAAGAACAAACAAATCTGTCTTGAAGGAAGAGCATCTAGAGCTCTCCTTAGAGGCAAGGGTGGTGAAACTTCATCTCACTTACTCCTGGGCATATTTTCAGGGGGCTGGAAAAGGTGGAGGATCAGCAAATGAGAAGATCCTCAAGACAATGGACTGACACAGTGATTACTACAATGAGCTTGTGAGGATGGCTGAGTACAGAGCAAGGTTCAGGTCTGTTGTTCAGAGAGTCAGTATGTGTAATAGTCAACTTGATGAAACCTAACAACAATAACAGCTTCTGCCTATTGCACTGACTTTACCCTTGCTCTGTCCCAGCCGACCTTATGTTATAGTTTTAAAGTATTTGCAGCTTTCCCAAATTCATTCCGTTTTTTTAAAACACGCCTCTGTAACAGCCTTATTTTCAAGGAATGATGTATATCTTAACTCTCTAACTAGTTAGTTATCCTTTAATAAGGAATCCATTAAATGCCTCCTCTAGGACTCTTTATTAAAAATAATCCCTTTAAGTTTTGTACTTACTACTTGGTTTAAGAATCTGTTTCATTTACACCTTTACCTTAGAAAAATATCTTAGGGAGCCCTGGTGGTCTAGTGGATAAGGAGCTGCACTGCCATTCTAAAAAAAATGCGGTTTGAATCCACCAACTGCCGCTCAGGAGAAAGTCGTGCAATCGCCCCCTATGTGATTTACAGCCACTGCAGGATCAACTATGAGTTGGTTGTGACTGAACAATACAGAACAATGACATTTCAATAAACTTAGAAAATCAGCCTATACATACTAATTAAATACTTGTTAAAGTACACTTCATCAGCAATTAGCACTATAGTAAGGAAGATAAGAGAATCCTAACTGTAGAAATATTTTATTAGGTACCTTTAAGTCAGAACCAACTCATTGCTGACCTTCCAGTAGGAGGATTTTAGAGTCTGTAAATCACATAGGAGGAGAATGCCCATCCTTCTCCCTCGGAGCAGCTAGTGGATTCAAACCACTGTCTGCCTTTGGGTTGGCAGTGCAACTTCTAACCACTAAGAACTTGCAGAAATAGAAATGAAATATTTAGGTAAAAAAGAATACACTGAAAATATTCAGTCATACGCAATACAGTGCTGTGGGTGATAAATTCAGCATGAATAGCCTATGATAATGAAGAATTTGGCAATCACGTCAAATGTGAATCCGTACTAGGAGTTACCAGAAAATACTAAAAAAATATGATGTGCATACATGATGTGGTGTTGTATTGTCTGTCACAGGAAGCACAGTGACTTTCCGTAATAGTATCAGAGAAAATGGGTATCAATTTTAGAAAATTAGATACTGACAATGGAAGATAATGTGTATCAAGCAGAGTTGGTCAGCCAGTAACAAGACTGCTGCATAAAATAGTAACAAATTCAAAACAACTATGAGATATCATCTCACCCCAGTAAGTAAGAATAGCAAAATTTAACAAAACAGCAAACAACAAATGCTGGCAAGGTTGTGGAAAAACTGGAACCCTTGTTTTCTGTTAGGAGGAGTGTAAAATGGAAGGCTGTACGGCGCTTTCTCAAAAAATTGCAAATACAAATACCATTTGACTCAGATATTCCACCACTGGGAATATATCCTAAAAAATCCATAGTTGGCACCCAAGCGGATATATGCACACCTATGTTTATCGCAGCTTTGTTCACAATAGCAAAGAGTTGGAAACAACCTAAGTGCCCATCAACAAATGAATGATAGAGAAGCTGTGGTATATTCACACAATGGAATGCTATACAGCATTGAAAAACAAAAAACTCATGAAATATTATTCAAAATGGGTGACCCTGGAGGACATTATGCTGAGTAAAATATCTCAGTCACAAAGGACAAATACTGCATAGTGCCACTGTTGTAAAACAGGACTGATACTGGGGTTGGAGGGAGACTGAGAAAGATGGGATAAATTATGTATACTGCACTGAAACAGGTGAGGCAGAGAACTATTTAAAAGGGACATATGATTAAGTATTATTGTCATGACAGGAGTTCAGAAGGCAGGCTACATAGTGGAGTGGACTGGGGGAAGAGATTGTGTAACAATGAAAGAATTTTTCTTTTACTTTTCAAAGAGGAGCGCGAACTAGGGAGGAGGTTGGGTAGGGAAAAAAGTGCAATAATCAATGAATGGAATTCCAAAGTCTCTGTAAACTTTCATTAAAATTAACTAATTAAAAAAATAGTAACAAATGTGGATGTATTAAACATAGCACAACTAAAGTAAAAATAAGCATTTGGACACATTATAAAGGAATACAGGCAAACTAATATACAGGCAGGTACAAATACGTCCTTAGTTGAGAGTGGGTAGAATCATCTATAGTCAAAATTTATTGCCACTGAGGCAATTCTGACTCATAATGACCCTTCATTGGGTTCCTAAGGCTATAATTCTTTAGGGAAGATGCCCATCTTTCTCCTGTCGAGCAACTGGTGGATGTGAACTGCCAATCTCTCAGTCAGCAGCCAAACATTTAACCTCCTATACCACCAGAACTCCTCAGAAGTTTCTATAAATACGTGTAAATAAAATCATGTGCTGCAGACATGTATATTCATTGAAGATACAACAACAGATACTCCTCAGATAAATACAATACTTTCTAACACTGGTTTTCTGGGTTTGAAGGTTTAGGACCAGAACATGGGACAGTTTGGTGAACAGGCATCAATCATGATTGGAACGCTAACAAACTGAGTAGTATCGAGGGTCTAAAAAGCTTGCCAGTGGCCACCTAAGACACAATGAGAGTTCTCTAAATGCCAGCAGCAAAACTGGGTAAGATAACCAAAATCCTAGAAAAGAATCGCAGCTACATGAGCCACAATCTTAACTATTTAGATGCCAGACGAGTTAAATGGTGGCCAATTACTACCACTGATGGTTTTGCATGAGGTCACAACAGTTGGTCCCAGACAGATTGGGGACAAAAAACAAAAAGTAGAACTGAAATTATTTTTAAAAAGAAAAAAAAAAGCAGCCAAGCAAGTTAGAACAGGACTCCCTGAGGCTAGTGCTCTAAGACAACAGCCCAAGCCTACCCCTCAGTACCACCTTTTGGTGTCCTACTTAAAAACGTAAGTATGAAACGATAACTAGAAAGAGAATACCGATATGCTGTGATAAATGTAACAACTGTCACCAAACAATGAGAGTACAAATTGTCAAATGTGTACCTAACTTGCTGTGTAAACTTTACCAAAAATTCAGTATTATTTTTTTAAATTACACCAAGAAAGAATCTTTAAATATTTGATAATTAAAATTCTACTTTATGAAATAAGTGAAAAATGAAGTAGACGTAAGCATTTAATTTAAATTTGCCTCCTCAATCTCCAGTGGGAAGAAGTGCTGGGCTAACTGAAAGATCAGCACTTGAACCTACCAGCCATTCCACAAAAGAAGAAGAGACAATCTCCTCCCATTAACATTTACAGCCTTTAATACTCGATGGAGGATTGCCTTGTATCAGAACTAACTTGATAGCAGCTCATGTTCGATGATAAATAATCAAAATTAAAGCCTTTTTTTCCCAATGAAAACCAGAAACATACCTATTCCTGTCAAAATGATTCTTACTCATAGTAACCTCACATGTAATTTATTAATCAGAACTTTTCCAGTTTTCTTGGCTGCTATCTTTATGAAAGCAGCTTGCAGGCCTTTATTTTGAAAAACCAGAGTGGGTTCCCAAACTGCTTGCAACCCCAAGTGCACTTTTAATTAAAAATGATAGCCTAAATAACGATTTTAAATTCACCAGTATAATATTCCAGTGATCACCAGAATATTCTACTAATTCTATTACGTAGAATTTTAGTAAATTCTAGTAAGTTCTTTCTAGTAAGTAGAAATTCACAAGTGAACAACAACCAGAGACTCTATCAAATTAGATTTATGTATCTTAAGGGTAGAGTTGCACCGCCAACCCAAAAGGACATGGTTCAAATCCACCAGCTGCTCCACTGGAGAAGGATGGCCAATCTCCTCTAGTGTGACTAACTACCTCTGAAAACCTGCTGGAGAGTCAACTATGATTTGGTTCTAACTTTAAAGTAAACAACAAAAACAAAAAAAATAAAACTATAATTGTTATAGTGTATACTATATTGTTTCTCAGTAAGACACATGAAAAAAAAAATCAATCTCTATAATACTTCTTACTACTTCTAGGCCCAGAGAATGGCTTACATCTAGTCTGGTCTGATGCTGCTTAGTCATCTGGTCTTGAACCTTCAGTCTTCGCAGAAGTTCTTTGAAACCCACCATTGGTACAGGGATTAACCTGAAGATATACAAGTGGTTAATTTTCATGAGTTAAGTCTATTATTACAAAGCAAAAGAAGATTATAATAAATAATAACCAGCCTTCAGTATGGACTGAGGCTCAATGTCAAGAAGACAAAAATTCTCACTACCGGACCAATTGGTAGCATCAGGATGGATGGTGAAGAGATTGAGAGTGTTCACAGCTTCAGTTTGCTCGGCTCCACTGTCAATACTCTTGGCACCAGTAGCCAGGAAATCAAAAAACGTATTGCGATGGGAAAGCCTGAGGTTAGGGACTTCTCTAAAGTACTCAAGAGCAACGGTGTCTCTCTGGAGACTAAGGTGCACCTGATACAGGCCATGGTTTTTGCAATCACTTGTTATGCATCAAAGAGTTGGACAATGACTAGGGAGGATAGAAGGAGAATTGACGCCTTTGAGCTGTGGTGCTGGAGAAGAGTATTGAATGTACCATGGACTGCCAAGAAAACAAACAGATTCCTCCTAGAGAGGGTTAAACCAGGCTGCTCCTTGGAGGCAAGGACTCTGGGGCTTTGTCTGACATACTTTGGACATGTTGTAAGGAGAGACAGGCCTTTAGAGAGGGACATCATGCTGGGTAGAGTGGAAGGACAGCGCAGGAGGGGAAGACCCTTTATGAGGTGGATTGATTCAGTGACTGGGGTAATCGGGATGGGTGTGTCAGAGGCAATGAGATTGGCACAGGATAGAGCAGGGTTTAGGGCTGTTGTACATAGGGTCACTATGAGTTGCAAACGACTCGACGGCACATAACAACAACAACTTCACATTAAATCTCTCAGGTTTCAGGTGGGTCCACAACTATAAATCAAGAATATTTTACCATCAAGATTGTACCTTTCTACAGTATGGAGGAAGAAACACTTCAATAAAAAAATAATTTAAAAATTAACACATTGTTAAATGAAAATGCATGCAATTAAGGAACTAATACTTGAGATTTCTTTATTCCTAGCAATGTTTTTACAGTATGTGATATCATCACAGTCAACATTTTCTAAAAAGTAATGATGAAATGAAAACAAACTCACAAGTTAATACTAATAAAGAAAAACTCGCATGCTTTCACTTTCCTAATACCACACATTAGTCTTTGCATCAAACTGCTAGAAGATCAAGACATACTTACTTTTCAGAATCAGGGTTATCCACCTTAGCTTGTTCCCATATAATAGGATCAACTCCTACCATAAAGAAAAAGTACTTTATTAAAAGAAACAAATTTTCATACTTCTATCTTTATAGAAAGAACTTTCCTACAGTAAAAAGAGGAGTACCCCAAACCGAAAAACCGTAAATAAAAAAAAAAACAAAACAAACAAACCTGTCAAAAAGGAACACTTAAGAATATTAAGACACTGTGGAAATGCTGTGTTATCCTTTACTAGATAACATTTTGTAAATGGTAAAAATCCCCAAATGTTTAGGATGAGAGATGCTATAAGAATACAGAATGAAAGGAAATGATCTATAACCTATAGGATAATAGATTAACCTCAGAATGTAAAAATCAATAAAGACAAAAACTTTAATAGAAAATGGGCAAAGAGGACAAAAAAATACAAGCATGCAGCTAATTAGCACATAACAATATGCTCAACTTTACTTGTCATCAAGAAAATACTAATTACACTAAGTACGACTTCCCTGACCTATGTGTGGCAAAAATGCAGCAATATCTATTCTCTCATATTATTGTTGGCATGAATATAACGTGATAGAACTTTCTATGGAAAGCAATGTGGAAGTATTAAACATAGAAAGTACGGATAATCTTTGACCATAAAATCAACCATAAGTTTATTCTAAACAAATGCACATATATATGTTCTTAGATTTATAAGGATGTTAACAGTAGAGAGTATAATACTAAAATGTTGGAAATCACTGAGTGGTTAGATAAAATGAGAAATATCCACAGAACACAGTTGTTAACTTCTATAAGGTAACATTTTGTTTTTTTTAAATAAAAAGATACTTTAAGTAATGACAAGGAAAGCACCAAGAAATATTGTAAAGTGAAAGGGAAACTTATACAGAAGATCCCCAGTGGTGCAAGGCCAACTGTCTGAAGCTACTTGTTGTTCCTAAAGAGAAAGCACCTGGTGATCTGCTCCTGTAAAGCAATTCAACTCTGTCCTATAAAGGCACTGAGCTGGAATCACCATGACAGCATAAAACAACAACATGTGCATATGCTTGTTTTAAAATTTCATAAAGACTAATGGAATCAACAAATAACAGAACAGTAGTAAAAGAAGAAAGATTTTTATATCATCTACTTATGCCATCTAGAATCTTTTACAATGAGAACACATTTAAGTTTTACTTATTCAGTTGAAATGAGATAAACTAGAAATAATAAATCAAAATATAAATTACCTTTGGGTAGTGATATTTTCCTCTATTTCACAATTTTCCAAAACTTCTAACAATCATTTTGTTTATGTAACAAAACAGAATGAATAAAAATATCCAAAACTATACCAAATAAGCTGCCATTGGTTTGATTAACCCTGATAACCAAATACCTCCAAAAATGGGTGGATATTTGTAAATTTTTAGTTTCCTCAACTCTTGACTCTAGAAACATACCAGCAGGAGGATTCTGTAGATGTTGTTTGATCTGTGCAGGAGAAAGTTCTGTTCTCGTCATAGACAGGGTTACACCAAGTTGCTGCAACTGTGTTTTTATATTGGCTTGTTCAAAGTGGGCATACAGTGTTGTGGCTGGAACTCTTCTTGAAGTACCATTTGGTGAACGTTCAACAACATAAATGACAACTTCTGTCCTGGGGAAAAGTATTCAAGTTATGTATGAAACACTGATAATGTAACTGATAGCCATAAATATCAACACAGAATACAAATTCAAAGGTACAGGGATGAATTTCAGAAATGGCTGTTCTAAGATGTTTCTTTAATCATGGATAAGATACAGTTATGTTCGTTTATAAATCAACCTGATGGTTAAAATAGGCAAATAATAACATATTTCAAAAGCTTGCTTAATAAAAAGTTCTCTTTAAATGGTATTAGTAATTTTTCCTAGACTCAAGAATTATTTTGGAGATTCTGTTAACCAAACCAAAACCAAAACCTACTGCTGTTAATTCTAAATCACAGCAACCATAGTTAGGTTGTTGTTATTAGGTGCCATAGAGTCAAGTACAACTCATACCGACCCTATGAACAAAAGAGCTGAAACCTGTTCTATCCTGAGCCACCCTCATATTTCCTGACACACAAGAGCCCATTCTAGCAGTAACCATGTCAGCAACCATGGAGGACCTGTTATATCTCTCATAAGATTACCAAGGCAATAATCTTGGGGAAGGTGCCCTACTGGTGGTTAAGAGACTGGCTGCTAATTGAAAGGATAACAGTTCAAATCCAGCAGCTTTTTCTTCGGAAAAAATATCATGGTGTCATCCCTTAAAGATATACAGCCTCGAAAGCCCTATAGAGCAGGTCTACTCTGTCCTACAAAGTTATTATGGGCAAGAATTGACTTAATGGCAATGGGGAGCAGTTCTTTATGTAAAGTGATAAACACATCTTTCTCCCAAAGAGTTGGTAGGTTTAAACTGCTGACCTGAGTTAGCAGTCAAGTGGTTAAGTACTATGCCACCAAGACTCAAGAAATTCTGGTAAACCTTATAAATTGCTTCACTGAAATTAATTAAGAACAAGACAAATAACAGCCTTAGAAATCTAAGGTGGGGTCAGTTATGAGTCAGTTCTGGCTTGATGATAGACAATGAAAGAGAAAAATCTGTTGTTAGTGATCTCATTAAAAACAATCCTTCTACAGCAAATTATCCTAAAATAAATGCCCTGCCATTAAGATTGACAAATTATACAAACATCAAAGGAAATACATTAATAATATTTATAAACAGATGAACATGAATAATAAATAATTTGGCTCCTAAAACTTTCCAATAACATTTTTGGAGCCCTGCTTACATAGTCATGGTAAATGTTTGGTTTCTTCCTGTTCTTGACTTTACAAAACTAAGAAATTAATAGCACCTAAGACATTGAAAATGATGAAAAAAAATTTCTAAAATGCTTTTAAATTATTGTTTGTACATTAACTAATGGTCACTCAAGAAGCCAGGCTGTTCCTTGGAGGCAAGCATTTTGAAGATCTATCTAAATACTCTGGGCATGTAGCCAGGAGGGACCAGTCACTGGAGAAAGACATCATGCTTGGAAGGGTGGAGGGACAACACAGAAGAGAAAGACCCTGGATGAAGTGGATTGACACAATGAGTGTGACAATAGGGACAAGTGAGTCAGAGACAGTGAGATTGACCCAGGATAGGGCAGGTTTCAGAGAGCTGTTATTCACAAGGTCGCTATGAGTTTTAGTCAATTTGATGGCACAAAACAACAAACAATAATACTATAAAATAAAATGACCAAGAATGACTAAATGAAAAACTAAATATGATTTGTAAACATTCAAATTTTAAAAAAGCCTTATGAGATTAACGAAATCCCAAAAATGAAGACATTTTCTGATATAATGAATAGTCAGCTCAGCAATTACTATATTCTGCTCTGAGATTTACTTTTTCTTCAGCAACAAAAACACTTGATTCTTCTGAAAGGACCAAGACATATAAAAGTATATGATATATACTTACTGATCATCTGGCAATGTTTTAATACCCTCTACATTTACAGCAAGGGTCTGGTTTCCTCCCAAAACTTTGTGCAATGATTCTACCAACTGCTGTTGCTGGCTTCGGATATCTGTTTCTTTTTTGTTGAAAACTAAAACCACCAAGCCGTCTTCATCTTTATTATTGGGCATACAACTGTAACCTACCGCCTATGAAATGACAAATAATATGAAAATATAGAGATCTCACATCAAGTGTTTCATATTAGTAGCTTAAAATAGGGAAAATTTAATGTTTGATAATAAAGAGGATGATGATTCTTTCCACAACTCTGTATAAGATCACACAGTTAAAAAAGGAAACAATTATATCTAAGCAAAATGCAAGTTTATAAAATGAAATTCCTATTTCTTCTCCTACAGAGAGTAACTAACATGCCTTCTCCCCTAAGAAACTTTACACATCACTGCTAAGTGCTTAACATGGTTGAGACAACACTTGTCATTATAATAAAGACTGCAAAAACCACAAAGGAAAATGTCATTTAGCTCACTATACATCTAACTCATAAAATAGATATTTAAAGTGCTTTTACAAAGAAGTATTTTCATTTTTTATTTTTTTCCCCCTTGTTATGTACGATCGAAATGGATTCCGACTGGCACAGGAGACTGCCTCTCCTCCAGCAGAGCATCTGGTGAATTTGAACCGTGCTCCTTCAGGATTACAGCACAACTTCTTGCCACTAGGCCACGAGAGCTCCCTTATAAATAAGTACTTTTAAGGTAAAATAATAACATCAGCATCTCTCAAATAGTGTAAAAATGTGTAATGACTTTATAATTTCTGTTATACAAAGTTTTAGGGAATAGGCTAGATTATTAAATATTAAACATGGTCAATTATACTTAAAGAATAACTGTTCTAGATGGAAGTGTCTTCTAGCTCTTCACCACTTAAATGCAACTTTGCATATTTTTCATTCTTTGTAGATTGTGACCTAGGGTAAGGAGTCATGCTACCAATCTAAAGGCAGGTATTTCAAGTCCACCAACTGCTCCAAGTGAGGAAGAGGTGCTATCTCCTCCTGCATGATTTATAGCCCCAGAAAACCCAAGGGAGGGTCAGCTATAAACTGGTTTCAATTCTATGGCAATTAAGAGGGAGAATGAGATTAGTGTATATCATACATTTTACTGTATACCTTAATTTATAAAAAGAAAAAATATTTAAGTTGTTTAAAAAAATAAAAAATATTCACATTGTTACAGTCAACCTCTGTCTACTACTTCATTATCTCTTAGTCATTAAACAAAAAGAACATGTCTGCTATTGCACTCAAAAGGTACAATGTAGCATTATTACTTAAAATCACTTTTCAAGGATACCTCAGTATGTACTGGATAAATCAGCATTTTTGTTGTATGTGCCAAGTGTTAAAGTTCAGGGTGTGCTTCAGCAATCATTAATTAATGCTTCAACCATTAAGACCTTAAAGATTCAGAAAGAATTTTTTTAAGAAAACTTATTTCAACAGTTATCAAGGGAATGTTTGAATCACGAAAGCAGACAAGACTCTTGCCTTAAGCAAGACTAACCTAATGGTACTTGCCTTACTAGATAGACTATCTATGTTCTTCTTTCCTCTTGCCTGCATTTCTCGTTAGTGAAACTTTTTTAAATGAAAGAATACTGAATTTAGAAAGTGGAGCCTAAAAAATTTCAAAGCTTTTTATGACACAAAGTAGTAATAGTTTTATTGGATTATTTTATAATAACTTTACAGATTTTTCTGCTACCGTTAGTTCAGGTGTCTTTATGCATTTAGGAATAGATGTGCTGTGCTAGATAGATGGATTCTGTCTTTTTACTCTACTGTCCCTGCTCAATTCTGATTTTCTGATACAGTTTACACCCAGTGAACTGAGAAGGCTGCTGGCTCCGGCAGAGCACTCCCTAGTGGCCAGGCATAGGTCATTTCTTTGTTTGCTTCCTCATTGCTCACTTGGATAGTGCTAGCCCCCTCCGTAAGGGTTCTTCAGTGAATCAGGGATGGTGAAAAGCTCTCAAAATATTTGTGTGCTCTGTGAACTTTAGGCTTATTACTGCTACCTGCTGGGTGGAATATCAGAATTTTCAATCATTAAAGGTGACGGAAATGGTTATAAAATTCACTTAAGACCCTCTTTGGGTCTTTATTGTTTTTATTATTCCTTTAGGTGAGGCAATAGGAATTTATATTTTGAGAGCAGTTAAAATGCTCGGCTGTTAACCAAAAGGTCAGCAGTTACAGCCAGCACCAACTCTGCTCCTGATTTAAAACCGTGGAAATCTAGGAAGAAGTTGCATTCTGTCCTGAACAGGCACCCAATGAGTTAGAGGCAGCATGATGATGCCAGGCTTGGGTTTTGTAGTCTCTCTACTACAGCTGGTACCAGGAAGTGGTATTTAATCCAGTCCAGCAGCTATAGACTGGATTATATAAAAGGTCATATTGTCTAAATTCCAAATGGAATTAAATAGAATCACAGAAGTTGCTAAGTTCCCTATATATTTGAGGGAAATTACTTTTCAAAAATTGACTAATGAGGATCATGCTGCTCTAAGTGAGTCTGTTTATTTCTCAACTGGTCAGCCATTTACTGCTCAGATTTCTGTTTCTTAGGTGGCGGGGGAGGGGAGAGAAAACCTGTACATTTTTGCCATTGCTAATAATAGCTAATAAATAACATCTTTTTCTTTTTGCTCTGATGTAACCTCATTTCTCAGATTCTACACTGTGCCAATTATGAATAAAAAATTACAAATAAAAACCTTTCAAAAAAAAAGGTACAATGTTTGTTTATTTTTAGTTATTTTAAGCAATAAAATAAGGTGTTCTCTAACAATGCAGTTGACCACTTTTGTTATTTAATCACTCAAGGATCTGATCCTCAGTTGTATGGTTTCAATGGCACAATCATGTACATATTAATTAGGCTCAAGAGATTGACAGAGCTAACAAAACTCACAAGAAACTGAAGTGTAAAGTGGAATTCCAATTCATTACTGTCTTATGAAAAATATACTGCCAAGCTGACCTGAATGAAAAGACTCTCTGAGAAGTCAAATTTAAGAAAAACTCTGTAGTAGGCAAGAAATCAGAAGAAAAAGAGGAAAAAATACATTGTTTTAATGTTTTGGTAATTAATATCACAGATACCTATTATCTGTAGAACAAGCACCTGTTGGTTAAGGTGAACTTCCAGGACAATTTTAGATAAATACTATTAAATTCTAGTTTCAGGTCTCCCCTTACAGATCTCAGGCAGATGTTACCATCTGTCAACATTTTCCTCAGTTATAAAGCATATTCATAGGTCATATTCTGGTTATCTTCAATCATATACACATTAGCATCATTTCACTTTACACTTTTTAGTAATTTTACATATAAATTGCATAATGTTGAAGGGGTAATCACGTTCTTTATATAATTTTAATCAAAATAAAGTTTATTTTACCCATCATTATTCAAAACAAGAATAAAAGCAATTTGATACCTTAAATCGGCAGAAAGGATTTTCTTGGGTGAATTCCACTGGTGCAATGTTATTGTTAAAATATCCTTTTCCTGTTCCCCAAAAGGCTTGCAGTTGATTCCATTTTGCCAAAATAGCATCCCTCTCATCTCCCAAAAGCGTTGGAGCAGAAAGAGCACTTGCTGTATGTATCAACTGGTTGGACTGAGTAGGTGCTTGTGTAGGCTGACTGAAGAGACCACCTAATGCTAAAAATGTACCCCCAAATTAGTATCACAAAACTCTAAACTTAGAAGAAAAAAAAATCAATTCAGATCCTAGATGTAGTAGGAGAATAATAGTCTTATTTCTAAGAACCTGGGAATGCGTTATCTTATATGGCTGACAGAAGACTGCAAATAGGTATAATGGGGGAATTTTTAAGAAAAAAATTTACTGTCATTATAAAGATCAATCTTAGCATCACTAAAAGTAAGGCAGCCTCCTTAGATGATAAATAATGACATAGTGCCCCTGGAAAGTACTTGTGCTCTCAAAAAGTCAGGTCTGAATCTAGTCAAGTCCCTACAACACTTTCAAGTATCAAACACACATGTTGTTGCTGTTGTTATGTGCCGTCGAGTCCTTTGCGACTCATAGAGACCCTATGCACAACAGCCCTAAACCCTGCTCTATCCTGCGCCAACCGCACTGCCGCAGACACACCCATCCCGATTACCCCAGTCACCAAATCAATCCATCTCATAGAGGGTCTTCCCCTCCTGCGCTGTCACTCCACCCTCCCAAGCATGATGTCCCTCTCTAAGAACCCATCCCTCCTGGCAACATGTCCAAAGTATGTCAGACGAAGCCCCAGAATCCTTGCCTCCAAGGAGTAGTTTGGTTTAATCCTCTCTAAGATGAATCTGTTTGTTTTCCTGGCAGTCCATGGTACATTCAGTACTCTTCTCCGGCACCACAGCTAAAAGGCATCAACTCTCCTTCTGTCCTCCCTA